GGGGGGGGGGGGGGGGGGGGGGGGGGCTGCTGGTGTTGGACTTCTAGGCGGTGCTATGTCGACAGACTCCAGGTGGCTTGTTGGTGTCCGAGGCTGTCCGCGGGCACTGCTCCTGAGTCGAAGTAATATCTCCCGCCATGCTGCTGTGTTAAGTGTTCGCCTGCCCGCAGGGATGATCCCACGCGGGGCCCCTGGCCAGGAGCCAGCGGCTGGGCACCGGGCTGGTTCGTTGCTCCCAGACATGGCCACCCTATGCATACGTCCATGTTGGTTGTGGCCGGCACAACACACTTCTACTCTCGCACCGATTCGGCGGCATGCATCGGCGGGTCGTTACCGAGAGCGGTACAATCGGGTACAACGCACTTTAGAGTCGCGCCCCTGCGGTGTTGTGAGTCGAGATACGCGGATGTGTCGCGGTCGAGGGCGAGGGGGGCCTGCCTCCACATATCATCCTCCGGGTTCACCGCCACGGTGTCTTCCCGTCCTCTGCTGCTCATGATGCAAGTCCTCGTCCTGCTCGGAAAGCCCACCGGCCCCATGCTGGGGCCCGTGCGTGCCGCCCGCTGTAACTCTCGTACCACCAGCGCCCCGACGTTACCCCCCAACTGCCCTGCAAAACGACGCTCCTCGCTGCCGTAAGTCGGGGCATTGTGTGGAGGGCACAAGACCTCATGGGTTCGAAGCTCGGGGCGGGTGCGAAGGCGGATGCGCCTGCTGCCGTGCTGGTGACACTGCTGCTGCTGCCGCTGCTGGTGGTGCTGTCGCATGGCTACCCTCCGTTGTCCCCTCGTCTTTCCTCCCGCTCCCGTGTTCCCACCCCAGGCACCACGGGTGTCATCGCCAGTGACGAGGGCCTACGCCCCCCACTCTCTCCTTTGCCTGCTTCCCAGCGTCCCCCATCTCTCCGCCCAGCAGGAAATATAAGCTCTTCAGTTTTCTCCACCGTTTCCTTGGTCAACTTGGAGTTCGCATACATGTAGCTGCTTCTCTCTATGTGTAACCTACGCTAGCAGCAGCGTGGGTGCTTCCGTTGGCCAGAGGAAAACATGCTTCCAGAAAGGGCAAGCGTAGGTATAATATGCACCAAGGCAATCGCAATCGTGCGCAAACGCGCTGATGTCTCGAAAACATCTACTTCTGCACTTCTACACTGTTTCACCAAACCAACTTCAGGCGCCTCTCTGTAAGTACTATCATAGTTACAATCGACGTAGAGAGAGGTTACGGAGCGGCGCCTTAAGTTGGTTTGGTGGGAATATGTATGTAGTCCCTTCTCATTGGTTTGGCAGAATACAGCAGCGCCAACGACATCCAAGATCCTATGCAGAGTAACAGCTTGCTGTCGCTCGCGTCGCTGGCCGCATGCGTTCCGGCGAAGCTACTGCTGTAGATCTGTAGAAGCTGCTGCATGTAACGCTGCGTCTATGTAGATGGCGCTGCAGAGGCAGCATGTGTGACGGCCGCGAAATACTTATTTTGTGTGCATTGTGGCGGTCTCTGGTTTCCGGTCTTCATCGCAAAGCAAAGGAGTCAATAGCAGAAGGCAGTGCATGAGTTGCTCGGAACAAAGGTCTCGGTAGACGTTTGAGGGGTGCACTAGTTAGCTGCTGCCGACAAAGAATTGGCCAAGGTGTAAGTTGCTGCGTGTGCGGGTGTACGGCCACGAGCCGCTCTCTACAAATTTGAACCTTGAGCCTGTGATTTTGATCTCAAAACAATGGGACGTATCAATGCCTAGAAACAAAGTGCAACGCCGAAACCCGGCTAGACAATTACGACATCTTCTCCCGGCGCTGGTATATCCCCAACACGTCTCTTTCCCGACTGCCATCTCTCGCTTCTTACCAAGCCATCGATGTGGACCTCGGTTATCAGAGGGATTTCCTCGATAGGTGCTCTTTCCACGGCCTCCGTGCCCCATGCCCCGGACATTGTAGCTGCTGAGGGTTACTCCACGCGCCCGGCAACACAAGGTTCCTTCCGGATTGCTGCTGGTCAATGACGGAGCCCGTGCAGAGATCAGCGTTGGAGCACAAACAAAGCAGTCGCTGCTGCCTTACTTGCAATTAATTCGCAATTGCCTTGGGGGGGTCCGTATACACTGAATACCCACCCCCCACGTGTACAACACGGAGCTCCCGCCGAAAGATCTGGTTGTTGACACCGCTCAACACATCCTGACACCACAAGCCGTCACCCGCCGCCCGTGGCATAGATGTGGCCTAGGAGAGGTCTGATGGCGAGAATGTCTCTCTTGTGTACGATCACCGGCGGGCGGACGCCGGGGTTCCGTGCCATGGCGCCGCTACCGCCTTCGTGGAAATCGACCACAACAGGTGCAACAACAGTTCAAATGCTTGGCAACCGTTCGCTAAAAATAAAGCCGCCCGAGGCGCGCGGAGCGGCAACGACGGCAGCGCCAAGGCCAGCAGGGCCAGCATGGCGAAAGGTTAGCCACGTGCGCAGCAGCGTTGTGTCCGCCCCGGAGAATATGGAGCAATCGAAACCTCAACAGTGCGAGAGTGAGGAGCAAGAGCGGCAACCGCTGAAGCGCCAGCACCAGCAGCACCAGCAGCGTGGTGGCACGACTACAGGCGGTGGAGAAGGAGAGAGACGGCACGACTCAAGAGCGAGAGACGAACGCCTCAAAACGACACGACGAGCGTTCAAGCCGGATACCAAGCGAATGATGATCATTCCCGAAGAGGAATGGCCCAGGTGGGGTGAATTTCGGAACGAGTTACACACACACACGCGCGTTGTTCGCCGGTTGATTCCCCGTCAACAAGGCTGTGGGTGTGTGCTATGTACAAAACATGAAAACTTCGGATCCCTGCTGTGGTACCACATACATAGCTCTCCTCCGATAAGACTTGAGGCAAGGCGGAAAGGCTGTATCGAGTTTCGTGCAAAGCCGCTCACCCATATTGACCTCGCAGCTGACACCACCTTCTCCTGCTGCGTATCAATTCCCAGGTGTGTATTTGGATACAACGCTTGTGTACGTTTCGTCGTGTACCAGTTAAGATTCACTACAATCGACTACTACTCGTCGCTGCTGCTACTGCCTTTCATGAAGGATGCTCTACAACCTGGCTGAGACACGCTGCAAACGGTCTCGACCAACACTCTTCGACACACACCGTTCGAAGAAAAACAAGGAAGTTCTACCTACATTGACTGCAACTCTACTGCTGTGCTGACCGCCGCCCGTTCATTTGCCTCGATGATGCTTTACACGCAAGAAAGACTGGTCTAATCCCATTGCTGTAAATCAGTACAGCAGTATCACACTCCTAACCTACTATCCTATGTGTCCCCCTCCCCTTCAACGCGTTTCACCTACACGAAGAACATGACGTTGTAGATTTCAAAATGAGCGGGAAACAGCCACACTCAAATCTACAGTACAACTCCAACTGTTGAAATTCAAAAACAGTAAAAAAAAATTGCGGTGCGTGTACATGTACAACAACTAGTCCTACAGCTGTACACACCACCGGTCGCCCCGGTGGTCTAGTGCGTAGCCCCGCAGCCTACTATGGGCCAGATCATGGGTTCGAGTCCCGGCAGAGAGAGTTTTTTTCTCACTAAATAAAAATTGTAGGATGAAAGCGACGCGCTGCAAAGCTCGTTTGTTAGTAAACCATACTCGACTTCGTAAGTCGCGAGGGAAGGGATTGCTGTACCCTTCTCGCGATAAAACTACCTCAGGCATGAACCGCAAGAGGGGGTCCAACCCCCCCCTCCTATGTGACCCCGGTTGGGTCGTCTAGCTAGTAGAAGTGGAGGATAGGGGCCAGAGGGGCAGACGACAGAGTCTAATGATGGGAGAAAAACAACAACAAACAACAACTGCCGGTCGCCCTGATGGTCTAGTGGGTACCCTCGCAGCCTGCTGAGGGCCAGCTCATGGGTTTGAGTCCCGACAGAGTGAGTTTTTTCTCAGTGGATAAATCCCGGTCTAGGATGAACGCGATGCGCTGCAAAGCTCGTTATTAGTAAACCATAATCGACTTCGTAAGTCGCAAGGGAAGGGATTGCTGTACCCTTCTCGCGATAAAAATATCTCAGGCAGGAACCGCAGGCCGGGGTCCAACCCCCCCCTCCTGTGGGACCCCGGTTGGGTCGTTTAGCTAGTAGAAGTTGAGGATAGAGGCCAGTTGGGTAGACGACAGAGTCCAATGATGGGAGAAAAAAAAAATGCAGTCTATATTCAAGTCGACTAAAACAGCAGCGAAGTACTTTCTAAAAACAGCAAGTTGCCAAACCACACTGCGCCATGTTCCCTGTGAAGGCTACATTCCACATGAAGTCAAGAATTTATCCGCCTATACAAATGTTTTTGTTCTTAGCTCCAACTGGCATCACTGATAACTCAGTGTTAGACTTACACAAACTCAAAACAAGCCAAGCCTCCAGTTGGTTTCAATCCACTTACTACTGAAAGGACTTCACCACATCCCTTTCGACTAAGTCTTGTCGCAAACGGGTACAAGTAGTCTTTCTGTGAGGTTATGTTTAGACTACTTTCTAAAAACATGAACGAGGCATTCCCATACCGCTCAGGTGCACCTGCACATACACCTGTTTTCCTTGCCGACCATTGGCGATTGTCTGGCGCTGTTGTGAACTGCTATGAACCAAGTGGTGACTTGTTGCGTGCTTGCTTGGCTATTGGTCGAATGGTTGGTGATGGTCCCCATGATGTGATGGTCCCCATGTCCGAATACGCTCGCCCGATCCGGTGCACGGCAACCTATCCATGCATACGTGCATACAACACACAAACCACGGCGCTGCACTGGCACCAACCAACTGCTGTTACACACACCGCCTACAGGCTCGGTCGCAACCGGGGAATTGTGCACTCTCGCTCTCTGACTTCACACCCATACCACGAGGTAGACCGGAATAAGACACAGACCTCTCTCGGTTTGATTAGGTGAAATGATGACGACAACACCGCTACGTATTTTTTTTCTTTCGTTCTCTGCTGGGCTGCTGGGTGGCTGGGTCGGAAAATAGCGGACTTACTTTCAAGATGAAGCAATCAATCCCGGAGCTGGGCGAGAGCCGAACCCAGAGTTCCCAGTTCCCAAACGTTGATCTGTTGCACTCGAGCACTCGAGCAACTCGAGGGTGAGGAGATGGAAGAGACTGGGTGGTTGTTTCGCTCTCGCTATTATTTGCATTGGTTGCCACACAGCACGAGGGATATGCTTTACACCCTGGCAAACCACACACAACGGGCTCCACAGCCAACTCGGAAGCAAAAAAAGCATGTCCTCTCCTTATTCGCGACCACAGCAGAGGGACAAGTTAGTGGCAGCCGCCGGCGCCACGAGGTTACAAGCCTCCGCAGCATTGTGTCGCTGCTCTCAGTGGTGTTTGCCCCTCTCCCGCCGAGTTCTAGGGTGTTTCCCCGGCCCGCGCGGCTCAGGGGGCTCGCTCGATTACCGCAGCCCCCTAATTATGCGCCTGCTGTGCATCCCATCGCCACCCTCCCCCACAGGCTATTCGTTACGTTGTGCCGCGGGCACTCAACCCAAGTCTGGTTTTGGAAAACGCGGTTAGGACACACCACACTTTTACGGCCAGAGTTCCTGCGTCTTTCCAGACTTTGTCTGGGTAAAGGTCTGGGTGCACAACTCCGGTGTGAAAACAGGCCTCTTAGAAAAGATACATTTGTAATAATAAAGAGAACGAGTCTTGGGTTCAAGGCAGAATGCAAACAAAGTAGAAATGGACTATTATAATGCTGCTGTGCCTTGCTGTATCATCCATTTGGCTCTCGATCAGATGACGGTTTCCCAAAGTGGTTGGTTGGCGAGAGAGCAGGCGCAATTGATCGCAGGGCGGCCGACGCACGATCCACCGTCCGTTTGTTGGGCCTTTGTGGCTCTACTGCTGCAGCGTTTGAAAGCGGGCAAATACGGGGGGGTGCATGTTCTCGGTCGTAGGTGAGGCACTCGTATTTTGCCATTCCTTTTGCTGTTACACCATTGACCACGCGTCCTCGAGAAGACGGAACGTTGTTCCCACAGGACCGGTCACCCACGGCCAATCGTTCCTCCCTACTTTGTCAAGGTTGGCTAAAAGATGCTTCACCTAAACCTAACTATCCTGTCGGTATCACTTCCCGTCTTTCAACTCATTTGCCAGCCCTAGTATTGTTGTTGTTGTTCTTGTTCTTGTTGTTGTTGTCTTGACATCAAAAACCGTTCCGATCTCTCTCTACCCAGTACCTTCGCATGTCCGTACTGATACAACACTCGACGCGGTCGATTCCCGTGGTCGCAGGCTAACTTACCCTAAAAAGGCACACTGAAATAAAATGGCCCCGAGGGGTCCGCAAGTCGATAGAAATCAACGACAGATATTCTGGAGTCCTCCACTCCCTCTGCGCGCTATGCGAGGTAACAACTGAGATTAGGGGTCACCATCACGCGCCGGAGAGAATGAGGTACACCCCCTTGGTTCAATCTTGGTAAATCACAACGCAAGCAGAAACAAGGCCATCTGGCACAGAAAAAGAGAGAACAAGAGAACAAGAGAAGAAAATAAAAGGAAACAGTAAGGAAAGAGAAAATGAAATAAAAAGAGCGAGGACAAAAAGGAACCAGGCCGAAAATAACAAGAAACAAGAGACAGAAAAAGACACACGGTGGAGAGACCACTAACGACAAGCAAACACGCAAACATTGCCAACAACAAGCGATACACTGTAATGGTACGTCATCACTAGTGGGGGGTTGGTCCAATGGTGCAGCGTTGGGGGGGGGAATTGGCTAAAAGAAATTCAATCCGGCACGTATCACGCCACTCGGTCCGTCTCTTCTCGTTTAGCTACCATCGTATCCATAAGGGTGTGTATGAAAACAGAGGATAAGCAAGGGTACAGGATGTGTGAATGTTGACGGATTGTTGGGGGGAACATCCCCCCCCGCTACAGGTCTCGCCATGAAGGTCGGAAACTTAAACGTGCCCGGATCCTGCCCAAAAGGATGTCCGTGCTCTGCAGACAGATGTATGGGTCTCGGGCGAAGTGCTCG